TCCTTGCAGAGGCAGAAGAGACTCGTGGCAACAGAACTGTAGCTGTAATGATTTGGTAATGGGTTTGCTGAGGAGACATTAAATCACAAGAAGAACTGAACTAAGGGAGCATTGCCCCCAAACCCCAGATGAGGAGCAGCGACAGAGATAAGCAGACCCTGTGTCAGGATGCAAGCCTTTGTTTACAAGACTGAGCAGCCATTGGGCCCATCCCCAGGAACACACCTCTACAAGCAGCTCAAGGGGCAATGCAGCCACAGCCAATGCTAAGTCCTGGCCTCCCCAAAGCCCCTGATTCTCCTCTGGAGAAAGGAGTAATTTCACCAGGTCGGTAGGATGACCCAAATAACACGGTGTACCCAAGAAATAATTGTGTTGGGCTGGAGAGATGGCTCAGCAGTTAAGAGCACTGATTGCTCTTCCAGAGGACCTGGGTTCAATTCCCAGCACCCACATGGCAGCTCACAACTGTCTGTAACTCCAGTTCCTGGGGATGGCACCTTCACACCAATGCATGTTTAAAAAAATTTTTTAAAAAAAAAAGAAGAAAAAAAAAAAAAGAAAGAAAGAATATCTTTGCTGTGAGAATCTCCTGTCTACCCAAGTGCTCAGACCTGAGTCTCTTGTCTCTGTTTAAACTGTTCCAAGTGTGACCTGGGCCAGGACCTGAGGGAGACTAAGGATGACGGACGGACGTTCACAACCACCTCGAACTCCAGCTCTGGGGACCCAACACCCTCCTCTGGCCTCCACAGGAACCAAAACACATTGTGGTGCACAGAAATGCTTATATACAAAATAAGGAGACAAATCTTCACAGTGTAGCTCAGGCTGGCTCTAGCCATCATTTCTGCCTGGTGGTCACACTGCAAAGGAGCAGCACCAAAAAGCCTATGGTTTTGGCAAGAACACACGGCACATTTGGAAGTATCAAAGTCAGCACCTAAGGCCAGTCATGTGGACCTCTTAGAGAAGATGAACCCAAACTAGTGATCTTTGTTACCCCCAAGGACTGTGGCATTGGGAGATGGGTGTGTTCACACCTAGCCAGACCCCAGCATCCCCTGGAAGCTGAAACCTGCTGGTCTCAGGTTTGCAGCAGCTCTTACTGGGGGCTTCCCTCACAAGAAGACAGCAAGGACCTACCTTCTGTGTATGGAACACAGGGCAAAAGCATGCAAACTGCAGAGCCGCCAAGCTGCCCAGCACTCACTGTGGGTCTATTCACAGCAGCAGAGGAGCAGCTGGGGACTGTGGCGGGGTGGGGAGGCTCTAACACAACCAACTAAAGATACGACACATGATCCAAGGAGGGTCTCGAAAGTCCAGATAGTACTAATACTGGACAGAAAGAACCCAAACCGACCTCACACCATGCTCACCACTGAAGACCATGCAGAGGACCCCAGGGCACAGCTGTCACCAGGCTGGGGACAGAAGGCCACATGGCATTTTGGAAACCACTCTGTCACCAAAACAAACCAGCAGCTTCCTGGGGCCTCCAGATGCTCCAGCAAAAGATAGGAACAGACAGGCAAGCGGCTCACCACCACCACTCGGGCAGCGTCACCTGGCAGGCATGGAGGCGGGGGCAGGCAGCAGCTTCCCTCCCGAGTACAGACCACACAACAGTGGTGGCAACTGTAAGCACCATCATCTGGCCATAAGCAGCCCCCAGCTGATCACCCAGACACTGTCAAATACAGCCAGCCTCCCACCAGGAGGCAAATGCACAGGAGTCACACAGGCTGGGAGTCAGGCCACCAGCAGCCTGGCTTCTGACATGCCTCTGACCCCTACAGACAACTGTGTCCAGGAGAGCACAAATGGATGGCCTTGAGAAGGACAGTGGCATCCTTGGCTCTTGCCTCTCCATACCAGGCAAGGTCCAGACATGGTGCCCAGTAGACATACGGCACATGCCTCTGGGGTGATACGCCCTCAGAGAGGGGGATGCCAGCCCCATAGACAGGGAGGAGAGGCAGGGATAGTAAGCCCAAGATTACTTCAGATGCAGTGGGGATAGAATGGGGGCTGTGTGCTAAATGTATGCTCCATGAACCCCAAGATGTGCGCAGTACTTGCTACTCTCGACCTCACCAACCTCCGTCCTCCCACATACTGGAACCCAGGAAGGTGGTGGAGATCTGTCACAGCCCGTGCTCTGGTCGTCAGCCTGACCTTCACTGGCTTCTTAGGAGGCAAAGCAAGTCTGAGGACGGTGTGTGCGGAGTGCGCAGGGTCCCTTACCTTCTGTCCTTTGTCCTTCTGAAACACAAACACAGACGGTGCGACGGCAGGCTTCTCTGCAAAAAGAAACATCAGTGTTTTCCCAACGCTGCATCCGACCGTCAACACGGCTCTTGTTTCCATCAGCTAAACACATGTGCAAATGTGCCAGTGCGTGCGCACAGGTACCCGACAACACCCACACATGCAACATGCACAAAAATACATTTTCGCCGGGCAGCGGTGGCGCACGCCTTTAATCCCAGCACTCGGGAGGCAGAGCCAGGCGGATGTCTGTGAGTTCGAGGCCAGCCTGGTCTACAGAGCGAGGTCCAGGAAAGGCGCAAAACTACACAGAGAAACCCTGTCTTGGGGGGTTGGGGGGAGATGGGGGGACATTTAAAAGCAGCTCACAGAACACCCAGCCGCTCAGAGGCTATCAGAGGCACCTGTATGTGGAACCCCTCAGTGGCATGGCCTTTCTGCATGGACGTAACCGGGGCCAGGACGCAGGACAGGGGTTTGAGAAGTCAGCAGGGTGCAAGACACCACAGAATCATGACTCCTGCCTAAGAGCTGGGCACCAACTTAGGTTTTTGATGGCTTTTTTTGTTGTTATTTTTGAGACAGGGCCTTGCTATGTAGACCAGGCTGGCTTCCAAGTCACAGAGATGCTCCTGTCTCTTCCAACCAAGTTCTGGGATTAAAGGTGTGCACCGTCATGCCCTCCTTGCAAGCAGCTGGCCGTTAGGCTCCTGCTCGTGGACAGCAACCCTAGAAACCACCGACCTGGCCCTATAGGTGCTGATTAAAGACCCCTGCAGCAGTACCACAGAGTGCCGCCCCGAGGTTCTGCACCTGATGAGACAGGGTGTGCGACCAGCGGTGTCCCTGTGGCTGTGGTAACTCCCACGAGCACCATAAGCCCCCAAGGTTGCGTACAAGCAGGCCTGGGCACTACACGAGGCACAGTGCCAGAGAAGCCACAGTGCCTGGGGTGGCAGATACGTGTGCTTCCACGCTTGGAGCATGAGAAGAATGGAGAAGAGAGGCACGCAGCAAGGCCATACCCATCCGCACTCCTAGAGAAACAGGACACTGGACTGAACCCTGAGACCACAGATCCTAAGCAGGCACCCTGCTAACGGGTGACATTCTCACTACCTCAGTCCCCACTGCCCCAGTGCTCCTGTGACCACCTATGCCCGTCCATCTGCCTTACGGCCCAACCTGAAGCCCGAGTGCCACCAGACAATGACACACTCTCCAGCCAGGGTCAAACCTCCTGTAGCCACAGCAAACACAAATGACGGCAGGGAAGGGGGAGGTTGGGCAGAGGAGCAGCTCACCACAGGATGTGTGCCAGGTCCCTGGAGCCCGGTCAGCACCTCTGTGCCCTAGCTGAATAGCTGGGCCAATGCCCAGCCCCAGCTCCACCTCTGCACCCAGCCCCAGTAAGATGGGTAAGGAGCCAGCACTTTGGCCATTTTGGTCCCTTTCAACCCACCCTCACTCCAGGCTTGCTGAGGACAGCACCTTGGCCCAGGGGACTGGCTCATGAATACACGGCTGGGGCTATGAGAAGAGAGACTCTCCTTCTACCAGGGCTGCCTGGCCACCTGCCACTACCTGGGACCTGGGAGCAGGGCAGTCACAGCATGGAGGACTGGCGCTCCAGGCCCTGGGCCCTGTGTGAGGCTGATAGGCCTCAGATGCTGTCAGGCCAGTAAATGGTGCCTACTGCTGCTGGAGCCAGTCTGTACCAGAAACCTGCCCCTGCCACCTAGCCCCGGGACTACAGTCCCACCACAGCCCCTCAGTACTGATGGGTATGTATTCTCTAGGACAGCAGGAAGGCTGCTCCAGGGATCTGTTGGACACAAAGGACAGGGCCTAGGGTGAGAGAAGGAGAGTCATCGGATAAGCAACAACTTCAAGGAGCTCAGAGGCATGCTCAGCTGGGGACAACAGCACTCGGATGCACTCAGCAGGTGACACCAGTGCACACCAGACCCACCCTGGCCTGGTTCTAACTTGGAACCATCCAGACCTTCCTTAGGAAGGCCACAGGTGTGACAGATACACAAAGCCACCGTGCCTCCGAGTAACCAGGGTGTGAGCTCCACTAGGAAAACGGGTCCCTGCTGTCTGCCTGGGGACTCAGGATCACCCCTCGAAGCCAACACTGCCTCCCATACAGACAGGCGCTCCCTTGGTGTCTTTGGCTTGTATTAGCCAGCCTTCCAAGCTCCCAACAGCTCTGTGGCCAGCATGTCAACCAATGTATGACACCTTCAATTCACCCTCTAGGCAGGGCACGTGGCTCCAGGAGTACAACATCCACCTAACATGCACAAAGTTACAGAAACCACATGTGCTGGCACACACACACCTGCACTCCTAATAGCACTTGGGAAGTAGAGGTAGAAGGATCAGGAGTTCAAGACCAGCCTGGGCAACATGAGACATGAGACTACCTCAAAATCAAACAGGGCTGGCTCTCCAGATAGCCCAGCAGGGTAAGATGCTTGCTGGCAGGCGTGGGACCCACACGCTGAAGAGCTGTCCTGAGTTCAAATGAAAACTGAAGGTACTGGAGAGCTGTTCAGTGGCCGGGCCCTGCTCTTAAGAGGACCAGGATTTAGTCCCCAGCACCCTTATCAGGTGGCTCACGCCAGAGGACCCACCCTCTTCCAGTCTCTACCAACACTGTAATCACATGCATAAACCTACACACATAATTAAAACATCTCTTTAAAAAAAAAAAAAAAAAAAAGAGCCGGGCGGTGGTGGCGCACGCCTTTAATCCCAGCACTCAGGAGGCAGAGGCAGGTGGATCTCTGTGAGTTCGAGGCCAGCCTGGTCTATAGAGCGAGTTCCAGGAAAGGCGCAAAGATATACAAAGAAACCCTGTCTCGAAAAGAATAAAATAAAAATAAGGGGCTGAAGAGATGGCTCAGTAGTTAAAGAGTACTGGCTGCTCTTCCAAAGGTTCTGAGTTCAATTCCCAGCAACCACATGGTGGCTCACAACCATCTGATGCCCTCTTTTGGCCTTCAAACGTACATGCAGATAGAGCACTAAAAAACACCCTGGCTTTAGTCCACAGGGCAGTACAGCAAGCAGGCTATGGACAGAGTAAGGTAAGAGGAGAGGGTGCAGGTGCACCAGGAACCCCAAGGCTGGTAGACAGGAGTGAGCTTTGAATCCTCTGCACCACAGAGCTTCACAGCTGTTACAGTCTCCTAGCAAAACAGCTGCTGGCTTCATGAGCGTCTCAGACCCCGTGAGCATGCTCACCGCTGACACACAGCTCAGGAGGCTACAGGAAGGTCACTGAACCCTCATCTGAGACACCAGACCCTCCTCTCAACTTTGTATGCAACTCTGCCCTAAATGACGGAGGGCTTGAGTCTCTGGAGAGGACAGAGTTCACAGGCTGGGGAAGCTGCTTTGGGATCACACACTTGGTCCTCCTCTAATTTGTTACTGGGACCTTCCTCTGTGAGGAAGGAGTAGATACTGTTCCCACATCCCCAGGACAGGAGTTCTCGCAGCACACAGGACAGGTGCTTGGCAGGCAGCTGCAGGATGATGTCAGTGCCCAGACAGGAGCTTGGGAGGATCCTGCATGCCAGCCAGTAGGGGCTGATGGCCACAGCACTCACATCTGCCACATATCTAACACAAACCTCCAAGTCACTCCGGCAAGAAACCTAGCTCTGGGCTGGCGGACTCTGCATCTGGAGTGGTGATGGGAAGAAGCTGTTCCTATCCATGTGCCCTGGCCTCAAGGCCTGGTTTGAACCCACTGTCCCCACTTCAAAGGAGAGTGAGGGGCCGGCCTGGTCCAGGTAGTCAGCTGCACAGTGCTCTCGAGTCTTCTTGTAGCCTTTGCCGTTCATCCACGGCAGACATGTCCTCTCTGGGATTCCCTCAAACCTCCAGCACTTCATCCATGCTGCTACTGGCTCTGCACAGCCAGCTTCACCAATGTGTCAGCTGTGACCACAAGGAAGTGAGCCACCCTGTATCCTCCTCTGGAGTTGTGGCATCTGGAACAAAATACCCTAGAGGACAAACACCTGGGAAGAGCTTTGGGGCCTGGGTCCTCCATAGCATGGCAAAGACAGGAAGAAGGAAGGAGGCAGGAGCCCACACTTCCTTCCTCCCTCCTGATGGCGCTTCATTTGCCAGGCGGCCACTGCAGCTGGACAGCCACTGAAGGGCTCAGCACCTTGTCAGCAAGTCAACACCCTATGCGACCACCTTCTTATCCTTGAACGCCATTGGCAAGCATCCCTCCAGCACCCTGGGCCCAGCACCAGTCACTTTCATCCAGTGCGGACGGCAACAACTGCCAGCAGTCGGCTGTCGTGTGAACAAACCTGCACTGGGCAGAGGCGACCCCTTGCAGTAAAAATCGTCACTTGTCAGTGCTGGTCCCGTGATCTCCGTGGTGGAGAATGAGGAGGCCTCAGCCTGTGTCTCAGGCTTCCAAGCCCCGCACAGGGAGAGTGGCACCTGGAAACATCTTTCTGTGACTTCTCTGGAAGTTCCCAGCTGTCCTCATAGAGGTATTGGCAGGGGCACTGCTTGGGTAATGCACTCTCCATGCCATCTAATTTTCTAGAATGATTTCGCCTTGTGCTCCATGTGAAAACCTTCCACTAGACCCCAATCCCCACCTTCCAGGTGTGATTTAAATCCAATGATGAATTTTCACATATTGGTTGGCTTTCAATTCTATTCTTTTTTTTCCCTAAGGACATAGGAGGAGCACAAGACCTGTGGCCAACACGTGGAGCACCTGTCGCTCCCACTCGTGGCTAACGTCACTGCACTGGTGTGGCCGACTACTGAGGGTCCAGGAGGCCTTGGCCACAGGAGTACCAACGGCAGCAAAGACTGGCCTTTGGGGTGAGTGCACACCGTGCCCAGTGGCTCAGCTCCTGGACAGGATATGCTGAGAAGGATGCACCACATGTCACCTCTTCCATCCTGCTGTCCCTACAGCTTAGAAAAAGCCCACCCACTCTGAGTCTGGCCAAACCCCAGAGAGCTCACAAAGGGAAGAAAGGGAAGCGACATGGAGTCCACCAGCCTAGCGAACACAAGAAAGTGGCCTGTGTGGCCTAACACAGACATGGCGAACTGAAAGTGAGGAAGGCTGGCGGGGAAAGCCCCTGCAACCTAGCTGGAAGGAAACCCGAGGCCTCTGGAACACACGGTGTGGGGGCGGCTGCCTAGGATTGGTAGTGGGAGTGTGGGTATGTCCAAGGCTACCTCAGTCACCTGGATCCTGGGTGAGTCTGAAACAGGGACGGGTAAATGAGAGCTGTGTTCAAGTGCTTGAGGACAGTGACCCACTGCAAGCTCCAAGGCAGCATCAGTTCCTGTCACTGCAATCACACCCAAGACCACACGACAAAACACTGAGGGCATCTGGAAGCACAAACCGTGCATGCAAAGGCAGTTGCTAGCCTTCAGGTGGCCAACCATGATATGCTTGATGCAATGCTGTGGCTGGCAATCCCAGCGGCCTGCGGCAGACTCTGAGGGAAGGCAAGCTGAGAAGCTGTAGGTGCCAGGCTAACTAGGGAAGCCAGAACCAAGCAAGTGCACAGACGCTACATGCAAGGGGACATTGCCATAGCAGTCACTTGAGCCTTGGACCACGAAATGACAAGTAGGTAGAGCTTGCCACCCTAGAATACGGAAGGAGACACTGTGGTGGCCAGTGCCAGGCAGTGGGAAGGGTGCACCCTGACATTGGAGGCACCCAACACTGACAGAGTTCCAAGCAGCCACGGCACCGAAAAGGAGGGCAGGACACCTCACATCTGGCTGGCAGGCAGCTGTCCCCATGGTGTGTCTCCATCAACTAACTCACTGCCATGCAGGGCTCATGGCACTTAGTGGGCGTGGCAGGTGGAGATGGGGAGGATCACCACCCAAAGCACGGGACCAGAGAGCCACCAACCCCCAGCTCCACCACATGTGGTCAACACCACGAGAAGAAATGGGGTCAGGTCCCTGTCCCAATCAGACTTGACCAGGGCAGATGGCATCACCCAGCAGAGCCAGAGTGTCAACACCTCTCTCCCTCTCTGCCATGGCCTCTGCAGGGCAGATCTTTGGGATGACCAGGTCTCCCCTAACATGCTGGTTCTCTATCAGGAGTGATCCTGGACCTTAAGGGATTAGTTCTTCTGGTGACAGATGGTGAGTGGGTGTGGCTGATGTTCTGGGAGGAGAGGCCACAGAAGTCACCACCAATCATCCTACACTAGCCCCAGTGACAGCCCCATCCTGTCCCCGTGTAGCAGAGAGAACATGAGCATCTAGATTTGCGGCCAGCAGGACCCACTCCACGGGGTCACTCAGAATGGTTCTGTCCCACAACCCCACCACTGGCTCCTCTTCTTGCCTAGCATCCAGATGCAGGAAATAAGATACGATGGGAGCCTGCTGGCTGGGCCCAGGCAAAACGCCCTGGGGTGCAGACAGTACACACACCCAGACACCGAGGCGCCACCCTGGTTCTCAAGCTTTTCAGCAGTAGGACCCAGTGCCATGCTAGTGCATGACTCCAGGCTGTAATTACCTGTAAGGACTAAAATGCATCTAGAAGGTGCTAAGAGGTGACCAACTTTTCTAGTGCTGGCAGTGAACCCAGGGCCTTTGCATCCGCTAATCAAGTGCTCACCAGTGTGAGTTTGTGTACGTGTATACACTCTTTAAAAGCAGTTAAGTATTTGAGTCCGCTGGCACAGGCCTGTTGTCCCAGCCACCTGGCAGGAGCTGGGTGAGGTCATTATAAGGTTGCAGCTCTGCAGTGGTCCTGGGACCCTGGAAGCGGTGAGGCCTGTTGGCTGCTGCCCTCTGAGCGCTGGCAAAACAAGACAGATGGTACCCTGCAGTCACCACAGACCCTCAGAAAGTTAAGGGAGCACACAACCAGGCCAGAGAGGCCAGGCCCACGTGGAGGGAGAAGCGCAGCAGACACTGAGGTGCCCACAAGTCCTCAGTCTCTGGGGAAGGGATGGCAGCTGTCCCCCAGCCCCAGCAAACCCTGAATGTGCAAGCTGGCCCAGACCAGTTCCTCATTTTCAAAACAAATCAGAAACCTGAAGCTAGCCCTGAAATTGCAGAATCTCAGGCTGCTTCCTAATTAAAAAGACGCACAGAAGCCCCGATGGGAGTGAGCGGCCCCTCCACTGGACCCTGGGGAAGGTGACAACTACCGTCTGTGGAGCTCCACTCTGCCTTCCTGGAGATTTTTAAGCTCTCTGGGTGCTCTGGGCACATAGGAGTGTGGGGTGCCTCTCTCTACTGCACTGAGGGCAACCCCAGGAGGAGCCTATGCAGAGGAAGCAGAGACCAATGCCCTTAGGACAGGCGGAGGAGCCCGTGCCACTGTAACCAACCTGGAGTGGCGGCCAGTGGCTGGCAAGTAAGCACCCTGGAGAGCTACCCGTCTCCCCACACAGGCAGGCCCTGTGCCTGAACCCGCCAATCTGGAAATCACTGTACCTTCCCTGCCCTTCCCTTCCCGTCCACTCTAAACATTCTCTTTTTTCCTTTTTGAATTTGAAACAGGCTCGTGCTAAGTTGCCCAGGCTAGGCTTGAAATTACTAAGCATGTAGCCCAGGCTGGTCTGAACTTGACTAAGATGCTCCTGCCTCAGCCTCCCAAGAGCTGGGATAACAGGCCTGGGCCACTGGGCCCAGCTTCTCCAAGCTCACCTGCCTCCACTCACTCCAACTCAGTCCCACTGAACAGAGGAGGTTCAACTGGCTCCTGCCACCCCGCCACTGTCTTCAGAGGTTAACGGTTCTGCAGCCCGATCATCACAAAGCCTCTCTGCCACCTCCCCACCTCTGCTAGAGCGGCAAGAGTCAAGGCCAGGCACATGGTCCCAAGACACACCCAGGACAGGACACCTGTCATCCTTCTAAGCCAGCACACAGCCCTGTGTTCTTCCTTTGACCTAAGGGTCAGATGTAAGACATGAGAGGAGTAAGAGAGGCCAGACTCCAGGCCCAACTCTGAGGCCACCGCTGACACCTGAGCTGCAGGCACCTGCAATGCCTGAGGCAGCACCCTCCACAACCAAGGAGCCTACCCCAGCTGTCCACGATGCCCAGGTTGAGAAGCCCTGGGCTACAGGTCATGCAGACAGGATACAGGGGACAGAGGTGTGCCTCCTGGGCTGCCATGAGCCACTTAGCCAGGGTCATCTCAGGGAGGACTCACTCTACTTCCTCCCTTCCATCCACCCATGTGACACTGTGAATGGACCTAAGACCACCAAGCCACACCCAGTGCTTTTCCTTCTTTCCTCCCCCTTTCTCCTCTCCCATCCCCCAATGCACCTCGGAGCTGCTGCCCATGTCTGAAATGGTGGTTCAGGGTTGGAACACCAGCTGCCAGTGAGCACTCACTACCACAGGCTCACAGCGCCATGAGACAGGGCCATAATCTGCATTCCCATTTTGCTAGTGGGGAAACTGAGGCCTCAGTTCAGGGCAAAGTAAAAGCATTAGCCTGGTTTACTCTAGGGTAGAGCCTATGCCCGCCATCCTGACACCTGTGGGACTGACCTGGGAGATAACCCTGAAGCTACCCCAACCCATAGGGTGGGGCTATGTATGGAAGTATTTTAGGAAGTCACCACCCTGGGGCAGGAGACTAAAGACGGGGTGTGCTACTAGCATTCAGTAGGTGCATTTGGCCACACTAGTGCATTTAGTGCCAAACCTAAAATGCACGGGACAGCCCTGTCCAGTCCAAGGTGGCTCCTGGTTCCCACCATGCATACACACAGCCCCACCAGGAACTGAACAGCTAGAAGCCACTGTTGGTCCTGCTGGGTGCCACTCTTCTGTGCTATCTCCCTTCCCACACCACAATCAAACTGTCTTCACCCTACTTCTGTCCAGTGTTGAGGGACTACTGAAACAGGATGCAGAGTGTGGGAAAGCCTTGTTCCAGCCTCTGTCTGTCTCTCTCCCAGGAGAGAAGCAGTGCAAGAGGACTTCTCAAAGCCATGAACTACAGAAGTTCCATAGAAGGACTGTGAGAGCTGCTGGTCCTTCTATGAGATTACCATGGCAACAACAGCCTGCAGGATGCAGCACTGGACTACAACTGAGGATGCTTCCTTACATGCAAGCAGATACACCTCACCTGAGCTGCACAGAGCAAGGCTCTGCAACCTGGTCTGCCCTTGGCAATGCAGGGATCCAGGGGTCCAGAGATCTGGGGTTATGGGGCTACCCAAGCACCATACTGGTTGGAAATCAAACATCTATGGACTGAAGAGTGCTGGGGCCACTACCTCAGAATGCCTGAGATGAGATGGCTCAGGGCAGAGAGATGAAATGGATGGAGGGGGGCCTGGGAGGAAAGAAGGACTAAGGATCTGGGCCTGGAAAGGCAGGAGCCACAGCCCTGCAGCACTCATGACTACGGTGTAGGTACTCCATAGCTTCAAAACACCCAGGCAAACAGCCAACGCTAAGGGGCTGAGTGCTGGCCTAGTGTGCACACCCCTGGGCTCCATCCCCAGCATCATGTCAGCCACACTTGTCATCCCAGCACTGGGAAAGTGGAGGCAGAAGGGTCAGCTGTTCAAGGTCATCCTCAGCTACACAGCAACTTCAAGGCCAGCCTGGACTATATGACACTGTTTCAAAACAAAAACCAACACCATACACCTACTTTACAAAGGTGACAAAACATCAAACGCCGTGCTGGGAACATGACCAAGAGAAGGAGTGTTCCGGAAACACATAGTAACTGATTCAGAAACGACAGATCTAAGGCACAAAAATTTCACATCCTGAACCTGACTTCGACGGGGCTCTTGTCTGGGGACAAAACAGCAGGTGGGCACAGCCCTTCCTAGGTACAAACATTCCATTTCAGTTTTACAACACATCGGACAGTGTGTACGGGAGCCACAAGAAAACACAGCCCCAGAGGACAGCAAATCCAAACTGCTCCAAGGCCCCTCTCAGCGAGGACCCTCACCAATAAACTCCCTCCCTGCTCCTTTCTCATGGAAGAGGAAGCTCTTGGATGGCTTCTGTACCAAGCACTGCTCTAGAAGCAAGGGGCCCACTAGTGATGGAGAAGGAAAGGTCCTGCACTGGCAGTGCTCAGCTCCAGCAGAGCGTGACCTAGACTGCTGACTGACAGCTGCGGTGGGAACACAGGGCAGAGGGGACAGGAAAGGTGGCCACCAAGGAAAACAGGTGGCCAGGGAATTCCTCAAGAGCACAGTAGCATGAAGAAAAGCAGACCATCAGGATGGGCTGGGGGGCAGGTGGTACTCCAGACAGGAAATCCAGGCTCGAGGAAGGCCGGAGCACAGTGGGTCAGGGAGGGAGAGCCTGTGTAGGAGGGTCACTCTAGCTTCTGGTTCAGGCGCAGCAGAAGAGGTAGAGGGAAAGACATCCCATGCAAAGTGTTGGTGGCTCTGGGCTAAGAGGGAGGTTCCCACTGACAATCACGGAAGGCAGGTTGAGAGACGACCAGTTTTCTGGGAGGGGACTCTGGTGCAGACAGGACATTACCAACCCCAAAGGAGATCTCAGTGACACTAGCCCCATGCAGTACTGCACACCTGTCACCCCAGCATTTGGGAGGTGGAGGCATGAGGACCAGGACTTCATGGCTGGCTTCAGCCATAAAGTGAGTTTGAGGACAGCCTGGGCTATATGAGACTGTCTCAAAAACACAAAAACAAAACAAAATACACCAAACATAAAACCCTAACAAGTTTTAAAAGAAAGTATGGGTTTAAAACACATCCACAGAGTATGCCACACCAATCTCTTGTTCTCTGGTCCCCCTACTGCCTCCACCCACAAGGTTCCTTAGCCCAGGCCACCCTGGTTCACACAGGCCTGCCTCCTGATGTGACTCAGGCGACTTACCTACACCTACCTTTCAAGGCTTGGATGGAGACTGAGAAGTGCAGGTGTAAACACTATCTCCATTCTCCGGGCACCATCCCAACGCCCTCCCCTACCAGGGCCAAGTGGGCTCTCGGAAGAACCCCACATCCCTGGGTTTTCTACAGAAGCCTCAGGCCACATGTCACAGGCAGGAAGGAATATTGCATGGTGGAGAACCAGGTCCCTGCTGCTATTAGCCTGCCTGCAGTAGTGCAGGGAGAAAGGACAGGGCTAAAAATAGACCTCTGAAGTCCCAAAACTACAACCCAGGAGCAGCCCCCAAGGGAGAACATCAGAGGGCATCAGGCTGCAGGGGGACTGACTATGAGTCTAGAGAAGTGTGACATGGTCCAGAGTGCTCAGATGGGGTTCAGGGCCCCACCGGGGAGGACTCACAGGGCAAAGAAAGGGGGTGTGCAGAAGCAATTAGGACCTGCACATCAGGTGGCCAAGCCTAAAATAGGGGATGTGAGCTGCACCCCAAAGGACGTGGGGGCCTGGTGGGAAGAGGGGTGCAAGTTCTGTGGCATTGGGTAGCCTTACTATATTCACACCACTCAAGTGGGGTGTCAAACGCCACAGGGAAGGGTATCACGTGTCAAAAATAAAAACGGGTTGTACAGAAGCAGTTGGGACTTTCAAGATCAGGTGACCAGGCTTAAATGGAGGGGGGGAGATTATCAGGTGCACCCCAAAGGGCATGGAAGCCAGTGGCGGGAATATGGGCGCCAGGTTCGGGTTTGAGCAGAGCTCGAGATGCAAGCCACAGGTCGGAATGGTGGAGGACCTTGTGGGAGGACTGGAAGGAGGGCCTGAGGCCAGGCCGGGGACCAAGGCCCGGGCCCCAGGCGAGGGGGGCGGGGAAGGGAGCGTGGCGCGCTGGGCCGGCGAGCAGGCCTGAGGTCTCGCCCTACCCGAGGCCGTGGAGCCGCGGCTCCGGCCCGTTGGGCTCCCGGGGCGGCGTGAGAGGCGAGAAGGCCTCGGGTGGCGGTCGCGACGGGGCTCAGGAGACTCGAGGCCGGGCAGAGGCAGAAGCCGGGGCTGCCGCGAGGAACCGGGCCGGGAACCGGACGCCATGGTGGGGGGGGGGCCCGCCGGGTGCCCAGACCTGACGAGGCCGGCCTCGCGCAGTCTGAGGCGCTCACCCTTCGGCTCTGGGGCTCCCTGGACCTCCCGTACCCCGCCCGCCCGCCGCCAGCTGGCCTCCGACGGCGCCTCCCCTACCTTCGTTCGCCAGGTCCGCCATTTTACTTCCTTAAGCCCTCCCACAAGGCCCCGCGCCCGGCCCCCGGGCTCGGCCTGCTTTCTGCCGAAGACTTCCTGCGCCTGCGCAATCCACCAGCCGACGCCGGGGCGAGGAGGAGGGCAGCTCGCACCGGCTCGCGCTCCGGCCGCGCGCCTGCGCACTAACGGTTCTCCGCCCGCCTCCTCTTCCCGCCCGCGGGGGGGGGGGGGGGGGGCGCGGCTAGCGCAGCACGCATGCGCACAGGCAACGCCAGTTCGCCCGTGTTCCTCAGGTCCTGGCATGCAGGATGCTAGGAGGGAGGGTGTCCGAACGCTGCGCATGCGCACGAGCTCCGCGCCGCTGCTTAAGGTGCTGACTTCGGTCCCGCCACTTTCCCTGTTTGTTTCTCTGGCGTGAACCGAGGCTGACTTCTAAGTGACACCTTATGACCGCGTGGCGCTTTCCACACGCACGCAGGAGTAACCCAGTACCTCGCGCCTCAGTTTCCCCGAGTCAAAAGCCAGTCCCATTCGCACGGCTTTCAAGGCCCTGTGGGAAGGTCGAGGAAGAGGCAGAGTCAGGTCACCCCAGGCTTCAGACACAGGCTGTGCCAAGGAAGCAGACTACTAGACTTGTCTGGGCATAGGGCTGAGCGTGGTGGTGCACACTTTTAACCCAGCACTCGGGAGGAAGAAGCAGCAGGATCTCTGTGAGTTCGAGGCTAGCCTAGGCTACAAAGCTGGTTCCAGGACAGCTAGGGCTACACAGTGAAACCCTGTCTCGAAAAATGGAAAAAGAAAGGAAAAGAAAAAGAACAAAAAAAAACTGGGCCTCGAGGTTACATCTGTAAATGTGTGTGTGAGAATGTGGGCGGCTGGTCGCCCGTCCTCAGTAAAAATACACTCAAAAACCCATGGGCAATGTAGGTTTGGTTTGGTTTGGTGTGAAACAGCAACACAAATTTATTGGTTTTGTTTCCAAGATTTTGTTTTTTAGAGTTTTTTGATTTTGGTTTTGGTTTTTCGAGACAATTTCTCTGTGTAGCCCTGGCTGTTCTGGAATTCACTCTGTAGACCAGGCTGACCTTGAACTCACAGAGACCCACCTGCCTCTGCCTCCTGAGTGCTGGGATTAAAGGCGTGTGCCACAACAGCCTGGCTTTTGTAAATTTTTTAAAAAAGATTTATTTTTACATATTTGAATGCTATGCCTGAAAGTGTGTGTAGTAACTGCAGAAGCTTAAAAAAAAAGGATGTTGGATGCCCTGGAACTGGCCTGTGGATGACGACTGTAAGCCAACTATGTGGGTGCTGAGATCCCAATCTGAAAGAGTAGCAAGTGCTTTTACTACAGAGCCCTAATTTTGTATTTTGCTTTCAGAGTGCTAAGGATGGAACCGAGTTTTCCATCACTCTAGTAAGATACTGCAGCCCCACAGTGCGGGATTCTAGGCAGGCTCTGCCACAGAGTTCCTCTCCCAACTCTATAAATGAGCGCCTTGAGCTCATGATCGTGTTGAACAGAGTTGGTTCTGATATTATTTCTACTCACCTCTCGTCATCTTCAGGCCTGGCCTCCTCGGCTCTGAAATACTCCCTGTCTCCAAACGGCCTGTGTTTCTCTGCCTCCTTCATTTGCTTCTTCAGGCTCTCCAGGCTCTGTCCCATGCACAGTAGCAGGCTCAGGAATCTTGGAAATCTAGACTAAGAGCATGAGTTCCCTGAAGGTGTCATACAGGGAAATGAACTTCGTGAAGAGACAAGAATGAGAACTGATGCAGACTGACTTAGTCAACTTGGATCAGACTTTTTTATAAATTTTATTTTATTTTATTTTAATGCCGAATGCCGTTTATTGAAGGAGGGAGGAGGTCTTAAATACAGGCTTACAGCACAATGGGAGAACCCCGGAGGGCAGAAGTTCAAATACAGGCTTATAGCACAATGGGAGAACCCCCGAGGGCAGAAGTTCGATGTTTCACAATCTTGCATCTAAGCTGTTAACGCCCATTATGCAGGATACACAGACAAGGAACTTCCCTTAAGCATTCAGGAGGGTGGAACCCAGCAGGGAATTAGCATAGGGAGGATGTCAAGGTCAAGGTCAGCAAGCAAGGCAACAGTTACCCAAAATGGGGGCCAGGACCCTACAGGTCCCCCTTTTACTAATAAATGAGCTTCTGACTTAGGTTGTGTGGGACATCAGCAGGTCATCTTACCCATCACGGAGACGCCTGCCCAGGCCACACAGGTGCTCTGTCTTAGGTTGGTCTCTGAATACTCATTATCATACAGGCTCAATCATGTGTGAGCTGCAGAGTTAACTGCTGCCAAAGATCTCAAAGTGGCACTGGGCTTGCAATCTGTGTGTTTGACACAGAAAAGACCAACAGAAGTCCTAACCCACCCATAGCCAGGAGGCTAAAGGCAACTGAGCCATTCCCTTCCTTAACGAGCTTTACTGCAAATTGGAGTCCTTGTAAGATGGTATCCCAAAAGCAAATGGAACTTGAGTTTATAAATTTATAATTTTCTTTTTTTTTTTTTGGTTTTTCGAGACCGGGTTTCTCTGTGTAGCTTTGCGCCTTTCCTGGAACTCACTTGGTAGCCCAGGCTGGCCTCGAACTAACAGAGATCCGCCTGACTCTGCCTCCCGAGTGCTGGGATTAAAGGCGTGCGCCACCACCGCCCAGCTGACCTTGGCAACTCTTACAAAGGAGAACATCTAACTGAGGGCTTGCTTACAATTTCAGAGGCTTAGTCCATGATCATCATGGCGGAGAGCCGACAAGTGTGGCGCTGAAGCAGTAGCTGAGAGCTTTATATCCTCATCCCCAGCAGAGAGAGAGAGAGAGAGAGAGAGAGAGAGAGAGAGAGAGAGAGAGAGAGAGAGAGAGACTGTGCCTGGTATGGGCTTTTGAAACATCAAAGCCCACCCCAGTGACACACTTCCTCCAGCAAGACCACACTTCCCAACCCTTCTCAAACAGTTCCACTCCCTGATGACTAAGCATTCAATGTATGAGCCGATGGGGGCCATTCTTATTCAAACTCTTTTAGGGTCTCAGCAATTCTTGCTTCTTCAGTAAGATCTGGACGAGGTCATGATCTTGAGACCCAGGGGCTAATCCTGGCTTTCAAGTTCAGAAAGGATTTATGTTTTTACTGCATGGAAAGGGGAAAAAGTCAAAAGAAGTAATGCTAGGGAAACCCTGTATGAAGTGTAATCTTGAAGGCTGTGGCTGGCGGCTCAGCTGGAGCCATGCAAGGGTGAGGGCCTAAGCTTGAATCCCCAGCACCCGCGTCATCGAAGCCATATGCAGTAGCCCATGTGTCATTCTAGCACTCCTCCCAGAGGTGAGATGGGAGGTGACTCCTGACTCCATGGTGACTTCTCAGCCAGCCCCTCACACAGCAACACTCTCACTGCCGCGGTTAATCATAAAAGCATTTGGGGATGTGTGTGAGTGTGTGTGTCCGTGCATTGCACGTGGCTAAGTAGTAGTGCTCACCATGAGTGTGCATGCGGCCGTCAGTGAAGTGCTTGCCTTTCAAACATGAGGACCTGAGTTCAAATCCCCAGGCCTCACATAAAGTCAAGGCCAGCAGTTTTATAGGAAGCTGGAGACAGGAGGCTCCCAGGGGCTCCCTGACCAGCCAGGCTGGAAGGGCCAGCAGGCTGCAAGCCACTGAGAGACCTTGCATCTAAACAAATGGCAGTCTTTGACCTCGCAAGAGAGCCGGCATGGCTTGCACAGCGTGCTGGGCTGAATGCCCTGCACTGCAGAGCAAGGAAGAGCCTGCTGAGCGGGTAAAGGGGCTTGCTGCCAAGCCCGAGGACCTGAGTTTGATCCCTGGGGCCCAGATGGTGGAGGGAGGGAACTGATTCCCGAAAGTTGTCCTCTGACCTCCACAGACACAATGTGTACACACACTCTCTCACGCACACAAACAAATGTAAAAAAATTTTTTTTTCTTTTTCAAGGCAGGGTTTCTTTGTGTACTCCTAGCTGCCCTGGAACTCACTTTGCAGACCAAGCTGGCCTGGAACTCACAGAGATCCTCCTGCCTCTGCCTCCCAAGAGGAAGGGAGGATGGAAAACCAGGCCTAAATTCACCTTCACCTGTTAACTAGACACCTAAAAGCAGCTTACTGCATATTTTAGATCTTCAGGGACACTCCTACTGACTTGGAGAGCAGGGAGACACTCATACTGTAGTCCAGTCTGGTCATGAACTCAAAATCCTCCTGCCTCATCCTCCCGAGTGCTGGAGTCACAGGCACACACCGGTGATTCCAACTTCCAGAACTTCTAGTATGGAAAATCTCAATCTCTCGCACTCTCCCTCTCTCTTTCTCCCCCCGCCCCACAACTCTTCAAATTTTTGAGATAGGATCTCATGTAGCCTAGGCTGACCTCACACTGGCTTTGACCTGAGGATGCCCATGATCCTCCTGCCTCCACCTCCAGAGACCTAGCCTGATGTCACCACCGCACCCAGTTTTTGTTTTTTGTTGCTGTTGTTGTTCTGTTCTTTTAGTTTTTGTTTTTGTTTTTGTTTTTGTTTTGGAAAGACAGTCACTACACAGCTCCGGCTGGCCTGGAGTTTGCAGCAATCCTCCTGCCTCAGCTCCCAACTCCTAGGACTATGGATGTGTGCCTACAACACAGCTGTCTGTCTCCCTGGTGTACGTGTGGCATAGGCACACATGTAAGTGTGGATGTGTGTGCATGGCGAGTGTGCGTGCAAAGCAGGGCATGCGGGGTCCTGCTCTGTCCCTGCCTTATTCACTTTAGATAGTATCCCTCACTACATTGGCAACCAGCAGGCCTTGGCCCCCAACAGTGCTAGGGTCACAGGAGGCCACGCCTGGCTTTCACATGGCTGCTGGGGATTCGAACTCAGGTCCAAATGCTTCACCAGACACCCATTTCTCCAGCTCCTGCCACCCTTCTTTCCCTTCGTGGTACTACAGGGTCTTGAACCCAAGACCACACAAGGGCCAGGCAGGTGCTGTGTCCTTGGCCCCATCCTCTCACATCTGGCCTGTCCAACAGCCCTGGGTGGATTTTCCTGCCTCTGCCCTGTCTCTGACCCTGTGAACTTTCAACCATGCCATGCTTTCTCAGCTGTTGTGTGAGCCTTGCAGCTTGACTCGACTCGGAGTCTTTGTGTTGTCATTTAAAATAGGTGGCACATTCATGATTTAATCCCAGCACTCAGGAGGCAAGAGGCAGGTGGAGCTCTGTGAGTTTGAATCCAGCCGGTCCACAGAGTGAATTCCAGGCCAGCCAGGGGTACGGACTGAAACACCATTTCAAACAAAAAACAAAAATAAATAAAATAATAAGCCCCCACGGCATAACAAGTAGACCTTGGTGAAACTAAACAAGGAAACAGGCTATTAACTTCCAGATAAAGGGGGCTGGAAGACAGGTCAGGGGTGCAGAGCACTGGCTGCTCTTGCAGAGGACCTGAGTTCATTCCCAGCACCCACATCAGGCAGCTCACAACTGTCTGTGACTCCTGCTCCTAGGGAGGTGATGCCCTGTTGTGGCCTCCACAGGAGACACACACACACACACCCCCATATGAACAAAAATGATAAAGATAGCTCTTTAAATACTAGCTGGTCTACAGAGGTGAAAGCCTGGCTTTGCCTCCTCCACAGGAAGTGGGAGTGGCCAAGCATGGCCACTGTACCGAGGGCACCTTCTCCCTCCAGCCACACAATACCAAGGGGTGAATGAGACCTGGAAACTGACAACAATCCTGCGGTCCCTATGGTTCTGTGTCAACAGATCTCTGTGCAGCTGAAGCCCTGTCACATCACGTTCAGCAACTCCTTGTGACCTGCTGGGTAGACTCTAGCAGGGACTTTTTGAGGACACTGAGAGACTCAGGAGCTGTGGGTCCAGCTAAGTTTGCACTGTGTCTTAGGTAGGGTTTCTATTGCTGTGAAGAGACACCATGACCACTGCAACTCTTATAAGGAAAACATTTAATGGGGGTGGTGGCTTACAGTTCAGGGGTTCAGCCCATTATCATCACAGTGGGACAAGGTGGCATGCAGGCAGGCAGATATGATACTGGAGAAACAGCCAAGTGTCCTACATCTTGGTTTGCAGGCAACAGGAAGTGGTCTGAGACACTAGGCATGGCTTGAGCATGAGACCTCAAAGCTCACCTCCATAGTGACACACTTCCTCCAACAAGGCCACACCTCCTAACAGTGCCACTCCCTTTAGGTAGCCATTTTTCCCCCCAAACCACCACACACTGTGGGGTTGATTCTGCCGTAGGAGGCTATGACCTACTGCCCCTCGGGCCTGCCCTCCCCTCTGACAGGCTCTCCATTCACCTCCACCAGTATTCCAATAAAAGAAAAAAGAAAGGATTGAAGGGAAAGGAAAAAAAAAAGAAATGGCCCAAATTCCTTGGCCCTCTCCTCATCCAGAAACGGGGGCCCGTTTATCTTGAGTATGACATGCGTCAATCAATACAGCTCATCTTCAGTGGCTGTGTGTAGCATGTGAGGCTAGCTCCTACTGAGGACAGAGACACAGCTCTCCTTCCTTTGTGGAAAAACTGTCATCATCATTATTATTATTATTATTATTATTATTATTAATTTTTATCATTTCTTTGAGCCAGAGACTCATGTAGCCCAGGCTGGCCTTGTCATCCCTGTGTAGCGGAAGATGACCCTGCTCCCCCAGCCCCCGAGTCCTGGTGTCAGGTGCACACCTGCCTAATGATCTTTACTGTCACACACGGGTTGTTTGACACAGGGTTTCACTCTTTAGCCCAGGCTGGCACAATCTTGTGGGTGATCCTCCTGCGTCACCTTCTCCTGTGCTGGGTATGTGGGTGGAACCCGCTGGTCTGCTGAACCCCAAATCCAAGCCCTCACAAGTCCCGGGAAGCGTTTTGCCCATGTGACCACTGGGAGGCAGCAGAGAACTGCGATGGTGTCAGCGCCTGCGCGTGCACCTGCGTGAATGCTTGTGTGTTTTTGCGTGTGTGGGCCATCAGACGTCTTCCTCATTTTACCCAAGGGAACCAATGCGCCCCCGCCGCGTAGACCGCAGCACCCCCCCGCCCCCCGCCCCGCAGACTCGGCACCCCGGGTCCAGCAGACCCGGCACCCCCGTGTGCCCCATCCTGCAGACTCTGGCACCCCCGTGTGCCCCATCCCGCAGACTCAGTACCTCCGTGCGCCCCCGTTCTGCAGACGCAGCACCCCATCCAGCAGACCGCAGCACTCCTGTTTGCCCCAGTCCTGCAAACCCGGCATCCCCGTCCCGCAGACCCGGCACCCCCGTGCCCTCCCACTCCACAGCCCCGCTGTTAAGCTGTTGTGGAGACCAAACGGCAGACCTGGGATCACACAGCCCCTTCCTCTATCTTCTTGTCAGAATCTCCCGCGGACTCCCCAGTGCTGCTTCCACGTGGGTTCTGGGGATCCGAACTCACATCCTCATGCTTGCACTCAGGGGCCTCGCCCAGGCCTTGTAGTCTGTCTGGACGACATCTCCTGGCGCCGTAGTTGCCAGCACCAAGACTGTGCCCTGCATAGCTGGGCTCCCTCGTTCTGTAGAGAGCTTCCTGAACCCAAGAATCCCCCAGGACAAGGGTGTACTGTTCAAGGGAGATGGGGGAGCCAAGGGTCACTTCAGAATCTTGAGGTTGGGAATCTGAGGAGGAATGGTGGACCGGTGCAGCAGGACTCGTACACCCTCCACCCACTCCCGTCTCTCCATCACATAGTCACTGAAGTAGCCCCTCTGTTCCCTGCACTGGATGGAGGTGTCGTTGGGGGATCTTGGTGGGGACATGGTAAGCAGACTGAGCCAGTGAACAGACAGTGAGAGTTGGGATGTGGCAGGTCCAGACCCAAATTCTCCCGGACTGTGTTTAGCTCCTTGACAATCATTCATTATTCACCTCTGTGTGTCACTGACATCCTTGTGCTATCAGTGAATCTTTTTGAGATGCAGAAACAGGCCACTGGCTTCTACATGTCCAAAGGCTAAGAATGACATCACATAGCATCTAAGCCCACAGCAGAGGTTTTCAGCTTTGTGGCTACAGCCAAACTGGTGTTCACACCAATGTCCTTGAGAAGTGCTTGACTGTGACATCCCCTGCAGAGTAGAAGCTTGTAGAGAGAGAACTGACACAGAATAGTAGTGTATGGACTAAGGAGTTTCGTGTACATAGATTCATTTTTCTTCAAAGATTAATTATCAGCTGGTTGTAGATTCTTCCCGGACCCTGGGAGGGGACTATCTAGGGGCTGGACCCCATAGTCCCCGATAACATTTGGCTACAGAATGAATGTGGGCCCTGGCCCCCCCACTGTGAGTGGCAGCCGCCTTGCTTGCCGACCTTGACCAGATGTCCTCCCTATTCAGATTCCCTGCAGGTTTCCTTCTCACCTAACATTCTACCGGAGGTTCTTTGTTCCTGTATCCTGCATTTGGTGTAAACAGCTTAGATGCAAAAATGTAGAACATTCAGTAGCAAACTTCTGCCCTCCGGGGATCCACCATTGTGCTGTAAGCCTGTATTTAAGGTTTCCTCCCTCTTTCAATAAACGGCATTCGACTGGCACTCGGCATTCAGCCGTGGCGAATGACTCGCTGTCTCTTGTCCCTTATTTTTTAATCCACAGCCCCTCGCTCGGACATGGTGAACGGGTGGTGATAGCGCGGGCGTTATCCCTACAAATGGAGGTCCCACCGAGATCCGAGAAAGAAGGGACGAGCTGATGGACACCCGAAAGGTAAGGCTGGCCAGCATTTTAAAGAAAAAAGGTACGGGTGAATTGTATTGAAATGGGTGCAGCTAGCTCACAGTCAGTTGATTGGACTGCTGAAGCAGGAAGGCACCGAAGTTAAGAAAGGGCAAGACAGCTGAAGATTTTAAATAAAAAAGGAAATCTTCCCAATAAAGAAGAGGGAAGAAAAGGAAATTTCCCGTTAGAAAAGGGAGAAAAAATTTTAATCAAGAAAAAAGGATTTTCCCGGTAAAAAGGGGAAAAATTTTTTGATACTAGGCCTAAAGATTGGGGCCCTGTAGAGGAAGGATGGAGGAAAGAGAAAAGCCTCTTCCCAGTGGTAATGGAGAAAGAAAAGACTTTTTCCAATTGTAGAATTTTCAGGATAGCTAAAACTCGGAGCTCTTTCTGCCTGCCAGCACAGAGCGGCAGCATCTGAATTACAAAGAATCGGCAGGTGGGCCTCATTGCTGCTGGCTGAACAGAGGTTAGAAGTTTTGCTGTCTGTTTGCTTATTTTGGTTCAAATGTTTTTTAATTTTCCCTCAGAATGGGAATAATTCAATATTTAGGATCCCTTCGTGGGAAATGTTTTTCTGTTTTTCCCTTATGGCGGGAATAACTCATTATTGTTAGGTAGTCCCTTCATGGGAGTAGGAAGTTTAAACAGGAGTTTGTGTGTGCGGGGCGCGCACCCAGCGGCGGCAGCGGCGGACAAAGGCATGCAAGAGATAGCGCCCGTGGGAGTTGGAGCTGCGATGGAGCGCGGCCCGGCCAGGCACCAGCACTAGAGCCCAGGCACGGGCACTAGAGCCTGAGCACTGGGCGGAGCCAAAGCTAAGCCGCAGCTTCAGCTCCTGCCAAGTGAGCAGAGGCCCAGGAAGGGACTAGCGCCTAAAAGTTTAACGGGCCTAACTTCTGATGAAAAATGGTTTCAGTCAGGACATTGAATGCTAAGTCAATGCTGTGTGAATAAAGGATGTTTTGTTCTTTTGATTGTCTTAATAAATGTTTGGATGAATGTTTGATTCTCATGGTAGATAAACTAAAGGAACAAGATTCATAATTTTGAACTATATATTAGGTGTCCTCTTGTCTGTTGATCATTACTGAAAATTTGGTTCTGCAATTTAAGTTGCTTTCTAGAAATTCTTGGTTTAATTTTATAGAAATATAACACCTGAAATGGATTGGGTTGTTAGCTTATTAAATAATGTTGTTGCTAAGATAAACCCATAAAAAATAATCTCTTACTGATAAAGAGGTTACAAAATTATTTTTCCAGTAAATAAAATACAGGTAAATTGTTTGGTCCACATTGTTAATAATTGGTTATTTGCATTAATGTGTTACTTGGAATTTATAAAAAAAAAGATACTCTTTTTAAGATTTTATAAAAATACTCCAGAGTATTGCCTAAAGTTACCTCTTCAAATCCTATAGAGATTGTATTTAATGCTTTTATAATTGACATATGTAAAAAGGACCATGGAAACAAAAGCTGGTGATAGAATTGCTCAATTATTATTGCTTTCATATTTTAAAGGCAAAATGGCGCCTATATGTAGAACTGGGGGTTTTGAAAGTACAGGAGAAAAGATGTTTTGACAGTTATCAATGATAAACAGCCTAAAATTAAAAACAAAATTATATGGGATTGAGATTGAAAGATAATTGGATTCTGGTGCTGGATATATCTATAATTTCACAAGAATCCTGAGATCCCAATTGGCCCCTTAAGAATTCCATCTCTAACCTACAAGGTATTGGCACAGCTCAGACGCCATTACAGAGCAGGCTACTCTTAAATTGGAAGGATGAGGAAGGTCATGCAGGAACTTTTCAACCCTTTGTGCTACCTGACATTCCAGTGAACTTGTGGGGACGAGATGTGTTAGATGGTATGGGAGCTGTGCTCACTACACAGCCTGTACAATAGATGCTGAAAAGTCAAGGCTACTGCCCGGGCAGAGGTTTAGGGAAAATGTTGCAAAGAGACCCACTCCCTGTGACAGACAAAAGCTGTGTCACTAGAGGTCCTGGGGATACTAGAGGACTAGAGTCTTTTCCATAGGGGTCACTGCACAGCAGCCTTCAATTATACAACTGATAAAAATCACTTGGAAAAGTGATGACCCTGTATGGGTAGAACAGTGGCCCCTTACTAAAGAAAAATTGGCCGGGCGGTGGTGGCGCACGCCTTTAATCCCAGCACTCGGGAGGCAGAGCCAGGCGGATCTCTGTGAGTTCGAGGCCAGTCTGGGCTACCGAGTGAGTTCCAGGAGAGGCGCAAAGCTACACAGAGAAACCCTGTCTCGAAAAACCAAAAAAAAAAAAAAAAAAATTGGAGGCTGCGAACACATTAGTTAAGGAACAGTTAGATGCTGGTCATATCATTCCTTCCACTTCGCCTTGGAACTCACCTATATTTGTTATTAAAAAGAAGTTAGGAAAATGGAGGCTATTACAGGATCTTAGAGCTGTAAATAAAACCATGATTCTCATGGGAGCAACACAACCTGGCTTGCCTGCCGCTGTGGCAATTCCTAAACATTGGCATTTAATTGTGATTGACTTCAGTGATTGTTTCTGGAGTGTTTTGGCAAACAGGTCCTATTCTATGGGTACATTCCCCAGCTTCTCCAGCGAAAACCATCCATTTCTCCCATTCATGAATATTTATTGCAAGTGCAAGGACTTATATGGCCCCGCTCACATAACCTTTATGTGGGCCATATTAGAGCTCACACTCTTGCCTGGACCTCTAAGTGAAGGTAATCAGAGGGCTGATGCCATTACTCGTATGGCTGTTACATTAGTTTGTTCTGCCTTTGAAAAGGCTACTCAGTTGCATCAACATTATCATCTTAATGCTGGATCTCTTCGTCATCACACAGGCATAACCTGGGAACAAGCCATCCAGATAGTTAAATCATGTCCTATTTGTTGAATTTTTACCTGTTCCTCATTTGGGAGTTAATCCCCGAGGACTTTTACCTAATCATGTGTGGCAGATGGACGTCACACACGTGCCTTCCTTTGGAAAATTACAATACGTCCATGTGTCTATTGATACATATTCTTCTCTAATTTTTGCTTCTGCTCATTCAGGGGAAAAGGTTAAGGATGTTAAGAATCATTGTCTTCATGCTTTTGCTTACATGGGAGTGCCAAAATGCATAAAGACTGATAATGGTCTCGCCTACAGCAGTATGGGATTTTCAAAATTCTGCCAAGACTTTTCTATTGTTAATAAGACTGGTATTCCTTATAATCCTCAAGGACGGGCTATAGTAGAATGCTGCCATCTTACCTTAAAAACATATATTTCTAAAGTAAAAAGGGGGGAGCTAGGGGCTCATCTCTCCTCTCCACATTCTATTCTTTCCCTTGTTTTATATATTTTAAATTTTTTATCGATGGATTCTGCTGGAGTATCCGCCACAGATAAGCACTGGAGGGCTCCTGTTGCAAATCATCCTCTGGTACGATGGAAGGATCTTTCTACTGGCACTTGAAGGGGACCCGATCCGGTGTTGGTGTGGGCCCGGGGATCTGTTTGTGTCTTTCCGCAGGACAATGAAGTTCCTCTTTGGGTCTCTGAGCGTTGTGTGCGCCCTGTGGCTGCTGCTGAATCCCGACATGGCAGAGACCTATTGGGCCTTCATAAAAAACTCTCCCCTTCTGATGCCAATGGGGATTGAGAGCCCAATACGGCCAGCCTTGGCAAGCATTAACATAAGCCTAGGAACTGTAGCCATATGGTTGGATTCTTCAGAAGGTAATGTATGGTAACTTTTTTCAAAAATGTTGAGAATGTGTCATACCTTGGAGATTAAGGATAACTCTGAAGGTCACTGACCTCTATTTGTTAACAGTAGCATGCCAGCTAAGCCTTTTCACATTTTGCAACCCTCTTCAAGCTGGTGTAGTACCTACTTTTCAGGAATGGCTCTGTGCAACATTTATTGGCCTCCTGAAATTCATCTAGCCTTTTTGAAGATACCTTAAAAGTGAGCCTGAATGTAGACATTAATGAGACCATTAGTTCTGCTCCTTGTTTGCTGTTTTTGTTTTTGTTTTCTTTATGGTTCTTAGTTGTTCTTTTGCAGACCTGCCAGCCTAAGTAGTGCTGGGATCAAGAAAAATGGGCCTTGGTGGTTCGTGTTCCTGGAGCTGCGTCCATGCCAGTGGACCATGGCAGTTAGACACAGATGATGCTCACACGTTCCAGAAGAGAATCTGACATCGCTGTTGCCGTTGTTGCTGTTATAGCAGTGGTGGCCACTGCTGCTATTGCTTCTGGGATGGCTATTTCATAATTGGGTTCCACAGCTAGGACAATGGAGACCCTGGCAGCAAAAGTAGCTACCACAGTTAGTTAATCTTTATTTTATTGGGCATGATAAATTTAATTCTGCATTTATACATTTAAATTGGCTTTGAAAGTTGTAAAAATTATTTAAACTCAAGTTCTATTTGCTTATGGGATACCACCTTACAAGGACTCCAATTTGCAGTAAAGCTCGTTTAAGAAGGGAATGGCTCAGTTGCCTTTAGCCTCCTGGCTATTGGTGGGTTAGGACTTCTGTTGGTCTTTTCTGTGTCGCACAGATTGCAAGCCCAGTGCCACTTTGAGATCTTTGGCAGCAGTCACTCTACAGCTCACGTGGTTGAGTCTGTATGATAATGAGTATTCAGAGACGGGTAATGCTTGGGGGGCGGTCATCAACCTAAGACAGAGCACTTGTGTGGCCTGGGCAGGTGTCTCTATGACGGGTAAGGTGACCTGCTGACGTCCCATGCAACCTAAGTCAGAAGCTCATTTTTAGTAAAAAGGGGGGACCTGTGGGCCCTGGCCCCCCACTGTGAGTGGCAGCCGCCTTGCTTGCCGACCTTGACCAGATGTCCTCCCTATTCAGATTCCCTGCAGGTTTCCTTCTCACCTAACATTCTACCGGAGGTTCTTTGTTCCTGTATCCTGCATTTGGTGTAAACAGCTTAGATGCAAAAATGTAGAACATTCAGTAGCAAACTTCTGCCCTCCGGGGATCCGCCATTGTGCTGTAAGCCTGTATTTAAGGTTTCCTCCCTCTTTCAATAAACGGCATTCGGCTGGCACTCGGCATTCAGCCGTGGCGAATGACTCGCTGTCTCTTGTCCCTTATTTTTTAATCCACAGCCCCTCGCTCGGACATGGTGAACGGGTGGTGATAGCCCGGGCGTTATCCCTACAAATGAACTCTCTCCTTTTGCCCTGTGAGGTGAGAACCGAGTTTCTTCACAATGTCAAACCCTAAACTCCCAGAATCTGGCTCAGACCTCAAGAATCTCAACACAATTGATGGTTGCATAGACAGAATAGTAATTATGGAGATAGGGGCTCATGTCCCAGAGTGGCCTGAAACTCAATGTGTAGCTGAGGCTGGCCCTGAACTCATCCTCCTGCCTCTGCCTCCTGCTAGGGTGGATGACAGGCATGTGTCAGCACACTCAGCTTGAGTGCTTGGGGTATCAAACAGGGTCTTGGTGCATGCTAGGCACTCTACTCACTGGGCCCAGCCTCGGTTCAAAGACAGCTGTGGGTTTACAGACAGAGAGATCCTGCACGAATGTGTTTCTCAGTTTCCCACCAGAAGCCCAGTTCACAGTAGAAAGATATCTCCTGTGATGTCTGCATGAGAATGCTGGTAGATGTAGCTACAGTTTTATTGCCTGGCCCACAGTCAGGACAAATCTCTCTCACCTGCCAGTCCCACAGCCCCTCAGACCCAACCAAGTAAACACAGAGACTTACATTGGTTACAAACTGCATGGCCGTGGCAGGCTTCTTGCTAACTGTTCTTATATCTTAAATTAATCCATTTCTATAAATCCATACCTTGCCACATGGCTCGTGGCTTACCGGCATCTTCACATTCTGTTTCTCATCGTGGCAGCTGGCAGTGTCTCTGACTCAGCCTTCCACTTCCCAGCTTTATTCTCCTCCTTGTCCCGCCTATACTTCCTGCCTGGCCACTGGCCAATCAGTGATTTATTTATTGACCAATCAGCAACACACTTGACATACAGAACATCCCACAGTAGGTAGACCCATGTCTGAATGCTTGGTCCTCTGTTGGTGAACTGTTTAGGAAGGAGGTGTGTCACAGAGGCAGGCTTTGAAGTTTCAAAAGCCCAGTCTCTCTCTCTCTCTCTCTCTCTCTCTCTCTCTCTCTCTCTCTCTCTCTCTCTCTCTCTCTCTCTCTCTGCCTGCTGCTGGAAGATCAGGATGTAGCTCTTGGCTGTAGCTCTTGGCTACAGCTCCAGCACCATGATGATCATGGCCTAAGCCCCTGGAACTGTAAGCAAGCCCGTAGTTAAATGCTTTCCTTTGTGTTGCCTTGGAGCTGTGTGGTGGTGGCGCACGCCTTTAATCCCAGCAGTCAGGAGGCAGAGGCAGGCAGATCTCTGAGTTTGACGCCAGCCTGGTCTACAGAGCGAGTTCCAGGACAGCCAGGGCTACACAGGGAAACCTTGTCTCAAAGCAAACAAACAAGCAAAAAAAACAAAAATACATAAAGAAATAAAACAACTAGTGAGATGATGTGGGACACAGCTTCCAGGGATGCCCCACCAATCCCCGGCCTCTCTGCTTCTTGCCAAACCCAATGTGGGCAAGGCGTTTTCTATGTGTACACTCTTCATTTAGGGGACTTTAGGAGATGTGTAGAGTGCTGTAGTCTGAGAGAGGGGTACAGAATGTGGAGGTGACGTTGGGAAGGTCCAATTAGGTTGTCCAAGTTCCCAGCTGTGGCAAAGCACTTCCTGATGCACACGCCATTTACTGGTCACTCATCCTCTCCTAGGGCCTTGGCTGCACAGCTCAGAAGTGGGTATAGTGTCACCCCACACATGGGGGTTCAGGATGCCACCTCAACGCTCACTTCTCTCTACTCATGCTCCTGACCATGGGGACAGGCTTGGAGAAGCTGGAGTCAGCCTATGATGGCTTCCTTCTGAGCTCCTCCCCACATCCTCGTGGTGCAGGGGAAGCATGGGAAAGAGACAAGGGAGCCAGGACAATTGAGGAAATGCCTGGGACAGCATGACTCAGGGGTGGAGCCCCGCCTAGAATCCCCCAGTCTCCCGTCTTGTATAATATTAAAAGGACCTGCCTTAATAACACACATCCCAGGGGCTCAGAAGAGAACTACGAACGGCGAGAATTATTTTCGGGAAATGAATCTCAGCACACCAAGCTCTTCAGTCCACTTGTTTTAATTCCTCTGAGATAAAATCCTGTCTACACAGCTTCAGTTCTGTTCTCGTGCCTAGCTCCTTTCTTGCCTGATCTACTGTTCCCTCTAAGTTCTATCTTAATTCTCTCGTCTTAATTCTGCCTCATCTAGGTCCTTCTCATCTCGTTCTTACTCAGCTAGTACTTCCCCGTCCGGCTCTTCCTCATCTTCCACCTTGTCCACACATTCTCTCGGGTCAAAATCCTCCTTCTCCCTCTCAGTTCTCTGTCCTCAAGCTCTCCACTCCCCTCTTCCTCTCCATCTCCTCATACCTCTAAGTTCTATCCTCCTTCTCTGAAAATAAAACTGCCTTCTTTTTTCCTGTGGCTCCTATCTGTCCAAGCTATCTGCCGTTTTTCTGCAGGGTGGGGGAAAGTGTGCTCAGTCGCCAGGCAACCTGTGTACAGCTAGATGCCTCTGGTGATAGTTAAAGGGAGATCTAGAATTAGAGGTAAGATTTAGAAAAGGAGGAAGTTAAGCTTAATTGGCATATCCACCAGACCTTCTCAAACAGGTAGTCTGGACACTAGGGTCTGTTCTTAGAGAGTACAGAGGTATCTCTGATAAGATACTTTCCTCCATCTGGGGATGGACCTGGCCGGATGCTGCCAATGACGATAATTACAGGGAGGCTTGAACTGGGGTTCTGGCTGAGCATAGCTGTCAGCACAGAAGGTTATCTAAATATTTCTAGAAGTGGTTAGGTAAGGAGTTAGAGATCTATAAAATTAGTAAGGCTATAAGAAAGGAGGGTCCGTGCTAAATTGTGCAAAGCTATTACTTAAGGTCTACCTAACCTAGGCATTGTCTCCTTATGGAATTTACCTTAAATCAGGAGACTTGCATGTGGGCTGTTATTTCTATTAGTCCTTGAAAGTGGCTAAGGGAGATACCTGATTCCAGAGAAAGCCTTTCCTGAGGCTGTTCTCTAGATACCTTGAATGTGTGTGTCCAGAGAGTGATTGGTCCACACTGTTGGCAATTATTAGGAAAAAAACAACTGGGAAAACTATGAAGACACACATGATTTTCATAACAGAAGACAGCTGATATGTAACAAGCCAAGTAACACCAAATGCTCCCTTGGAATTTGGCTTCCTCTGGAGGAATTCCTTGATCCCTTCAGGTAGTGACTTTGCCATAACCAGCTGAGTTCTTATAATATATTCCTGTGGCCTGTATCACCCCAGTTAAGGGGCTGGGGGCATGGTCAGGGGTGGAGCCCCACCTAGAATCCCCCAGTGAGGGGCTGGGGGCGTGGTCAGGGTGGAGCCCCGCCTAGAATCCCCCAGTGAGGGGCTGGGGGCATGTTCAGGGTGGAGCCCCACCTAGAATCCTCAGTGAGAGGCTAGGGGCTTGGGGAGATCTTGGGAGCCATGCAGCCTAGTTTCAAACTAGTATATAAGTGTTTATCCAACAGGTCTCCAGATGAGGCAAAAGCCCACAGGGGCAGTATCACTTGGCAAGTACCAGTAGACAGAATACTGCTGAGGCCTCATAGCCTGCATGCTCTCTTCTCTGCTGTGGGATGTTCTGTGTGCTGTGAATGTGTATGCTGTGATTGGTTGATAAATAAAAAGCTGATTGGCCAGTAGCCAGGCAGGAAGTATAGGTGGGATAAACAGACAAGGAGAATTCTGGGAAGTGGAAGGCTGAGTCAGGAGACACCAGCCTGCCATCCAGGGAGCAACATGGTATGGCACACAGGTAAAGCCACAGAACACATGGCAACATATAGGTTAACAGAAATGGGCTGAGTTTAAGTGTAAGAGCTAGTCAGTGGTAGGCCTGAGCTGATGGATGAGCAGTTTTAATTGATATAAGCCTCTGTGTGTTTACTTGGGTCTGAGCAGCTGCGGGACAATGGGACTGCGGGAGCCAGATGGGACCAGGAACACTTTCAGCTACACTTCTCTCTCCTAATATTGATGATTCTCTTGGTGGTTTTAGTGTCATTTCGTCAATCATGCATGGAACAGATGTGATCATTCCTGGAAATCCCATTTTTTTCTTGAATGTTTTCCCCTTTGGGCTCTGATGCTTCTCAGGTTTCTTGTCTGGAGATGCCAGCTGTCATGTCAGAGCCCAGGAGCTGTCCTGATTTAGTGCTGACAGGATCAGAGGCAGATCACCACTATTTCTGTAAATATGTTTTGAACGAGATTGTTGTTCTTGAAAGTGTGAGCCTATGTCAATCACCTTTTGGTTTTGTAAAGACAGGATGTACCTGGCCTGATATTTGGCCAAGCTTGCAAAAATGATTAAGTGTTGTTTTTAGTTTAAAGATGTTATGATGTAAAAGTTGGGAAAAAACATATTCAACATATTTGTTTTTGCTGGAGGTTAACACTGGAGGATGGGAAAAACTTGTGTGTTAGTGTGGAAAACCATTATGATGATATTTTATTTTGTACTAAAATGTTATTTGTATGTTAATAAATAAAGTTGCCCGGGGGTCAGAGCTATTAGCAAGCCATAGGAAAGCAGGGCAGTGGTGGCGTACGCTTGTAATCCCAGCACTTGGTAGGCAGAGCTGGGTAAGTCTCTGTGTGTTCAGGGATACAGCCAGTATTGGATACACATGCCTTTAATCTCAATACCAATCATAGAAAACCTGGAGGCCTATACAGACAGGCTGTGAGGAGGCGGTCATGTGGTTGGGTTTACAACCAATGAGAAGGCAGGACAGGAACTCTATATAAAGACTTTAACACAGGGGTAGCTCTGGTTCGGAGAGGTAGGACCACTGCAGGAGGAAGGGTAAGGTTTTAGCTCTTAGCTCTGACCTTTTGGCTTTCTTCTTTGCATTGGTTCTGTGTTTCTTATTTAATAAGATGGTTGGTTACATCTACATATTCAAAAACATATTCAACATATTTGTTTTTGCCGGAGGTTAACACCGGAGGATGGGAAAAACTTGTGTGTT